GGAGCATGGAAAGAGCCAGAGACATTCTGTTCTCTGAGGTCCAGATGGAGATGCCACGCAGGTAAACAGCAGCACCTTTATGGCATCAGGGCTGCAATTAATAAAACTCTGATGGTTATAAAATATGTACCTGATCCAGTGATCAATAATGAAAATATGTCATAGAAATAGTTATGCAAATGTCATCCAGTTAGACCGACTTTTATCTGATGGATTGTTTTCTCTCTGTTCAGTTTTTTTATTGCCACATAAACAATCAGACTGAAAACTAAACCATAGAAGCAGAGCAGTGAGAGAGGCCCTCTAGTGGCTGCTGTGGAGTACTGCAGGTTTTAGTGGTTTAACAGGGAGTGAGGCCCTCTAGTGGCTGCTGTGGAGTACTGCAGGTTTTAGTGGTTTAACAGGGAGTGAGGCCCTCTAGTGGCTGCTGTGGAGTACTGCAGGTTTTAGTGGTTTAACAGGGAGTGAGGCCCTCTAGTGGCTGCTGTGGAGTACTGCAGGTTTTTGTACAGGGTTCTGGTGTTTCCTGTCACTGTGGGCCTCACAGCGCAGTAGTACACAGCAGAGTCTGTCACTGCAGCAGAGGAGATCAGCAGATCCATCCGGGTTTTATCAGCATTCATGTTAAAGGACAAACGAGGAAGCTGCTGAGATGTTTGCACTCCTGTTCCTAAATGGGAGATCAGGAACTGTGGAGGTTTTCCAGGATATTGACGATACCAGAAGAAATAATCGTTGCCGTCTGCTTGTTTGGAGTAATTGTAGGACAGAGTAACGTTGCTGTTTTCTACAGCGAACTCTTCATTCTGATGTGCAGTGAGTTGTTGGCATCTGACTCCTAGAAGAGAAATCTGTTAGTTTTAGTTTCTGGAAATTAATTCACATCAATAAAACTTTGAAAATGTGTTTTTGAAAAACAGAGTCTGACCTGTTACCAGAGAGGCGATGAGCAGAGACAGACCATAATAGTCCATGTTGAGCAGAGTTAATGTTGGAGAGTTGAACTGAACTGAAGGAGGAAGTTTGAGTCTCTTAGAGATCAGGAACAGATCAGCTCCTCCTCTTCCTCCTCTTCCTCTCAGCAGAAATAACCAGAGAATAAATTAATGCAGGATCAAAATACCAAGCAAACCATCTTTAAATATATATTAGAAAACTTAAAATTACAGATAAAATATCCAGTTTATAAAGAAAAATCTAATCAGTTCAAATGAATCATCCAGATAGATTCCAGATCAGTTCCATCGATTCCAATTGATCATTGTCATCAATCAATGCATCAAGTTCAGCTTACTATTGAAATTATTTTCAAAAGTTTTCTACCTAAGGAAACCCTGCAGATTGCATCGAGTTGTAGATTTGCAGCATTCATTCCTTGGTCCTCCACGCTTCAGAGCCCAGCGAACAAAACACTTAAAACTTATCTGAACGTCTTCTAAAAACCTCAACAGGAGACTCAGAAAAACACACAAAGCAAGACTGAGGGGTGTAAGTTTATTCAGCGTCATTAAAATGATCTCAGACTTAAGTTTATGCTAATAACTCTCCCATCGAAGAATGGTGTCATTAAAATTGGACTTTTCCACCAAAAATAAGGTGGAATATGAATATGATGCACCACAGATTCCTGGAAACGTACAACAGGGTCAGCTTAGGAAGCATGTATGAAGCAATGGGGCTTCATACATGCAGGGTCAGATGCAGGGTCAGGTGTAGGGTCAGATGTAGGGTCAGATGCAGGGTCAGATGTAGGGTCAGATGTAGGGTCAGATGCAGGGTCAGATGTAGGGTCAGATGTAGGGT